GTTATTGATACATTGTCCAAGAAGCTATGGGCTTACCCTCTAAAGCGAAAAACGGGTCTAGAACTCACTAAAGCATTAACACCGTTACTCACATCAGAACGTCCTAAAAAATTACAGGTTTATTATGTTGTATAAATTTTTGAATAAATCATACATTATAAAACACATGATATGAAATTATGATTGTATAACGTTAAATATTACAGGTTGACAATGGAACTGAATTCTACAACAGCTCCTTCAAGCAAATTCTAAGTGCGTTGGGTGTATCATTGTACAGCACATACTCAGATAAGAAGGCAAGCATAGTTGAGAGGGTACAGAGGACAATAAGAGGAAGGCTTTTCAAAGTATTTACAGCACGCAATACAAAAAAATGGATAGATGTTCTACCACAGTTGGTGGAAAGCTATAATAACTCCAAGCATAGAACCATTGGTATGAAACCTAATGAAGTACGACCTGAACATGTACAACAACTACTGAAGCGCATATATCAGAATAGCGAATATCTGAAAACCATTAGAGAGGAAAAATATCGCAAGAGACTGCTTAAAGTTGGAAATTTGGTGCGGATAGCCAAAACGAAGGGTTTCTTATCAAAAGAAGCTGTGCAGAAGTGGACATTAGAAATGTTCAAAATTAGAAAAGTTGAGAGACAAAATTTTCCGATAACTTATTTGCTAACTGATCTTAACGATGAGGATGTTTTAGGATCATTTTATCGTGAAGAACTTCAGCAGATGTCTTGATTTTGTACAATAATGAGAAAAAAATCTATAAAAGTATAGACAATTGCATCTGAATGAATTTGTGACTAGTTTCCTATTACAATAATGTTGAAGTTCTATGCAAATTCCAATATTATGGTTGTTGGAGCTACCTCATCTGGAAAGACAACAACTGTGTTAGAAATAATCAGACAAAGGTTGATTGAACCTTTCCCCCGTCACTTGATATATCTTTACGGGGCAAAGCAGAGTTTTATGGACACCTGGAATAAGGATAAAAATAACCCAAAAATTGAATTTGTCTGTGGTCTGCAGCTGGAGATTCTTGACAAATTTAACGGTCCAAAGCTTCTCATCATTGATGATCTTTGTTTATCTCAAAATAAGGATCTAGCCAACCATTTCATCAGAGGTAGTCATCACCTTCAGACGACTACAATCTACATCTCACATTCAATATTTCTCAATGATGATAATTATAGAATGATGTCTGCCAATTGTCAATATATGTTGATCATGAGAAACAAGAGGAACTTGGCTCAACTTACGAGATTAGCCCGTCAAATACTTGGATCGGACTATTTAAGGATTCTCGAGGCCTATGAATACAATAAAAACAATCAGTTTGGATTCGTTTTGTTGTCATTTCATCCAAAAGTTCCAGAGGAATTGCTTGTGCTTTCGGATTTTTTTAAACAATGTCCAAGCGTGTTTCTGACAGAAAAAACCATCTAAAAGACAATTATAAAGCACTTCAAACACTAGCTCACATTGGACCAAAGAAAGCTCTTGTAATTATCAACAATTCACCCAAGAAATTTCTTCATACTATTAGATCTGTTGCCAAGTCTACATTGGATGGTACCATACCCCTGAAGGATCATCATGTTAAACAGCTGAGAAGACACAAAAAACTTATTCGGACAATAGCAGGAAGTAGATCCGCATATCACATCAAGAAGTCTGTCAGTCAACAAGGCGGATCTTTTTTCAAAACTGTCCTAAGCATGCTGCTACCTCTGATTCCAATGATTGTCTAATGTACCTCTATATAAGTATACCTGGTTATTAACAGTTACATGACATGATGGATGTGATAACTGTAACGAGTCTTGGACAAAATCCAGCAAGTTTTATATCAAACTTTTCCAATTCAATACAGTTGTCCGAGGGCTATGAAATTGGATTGTTGAAAATTGCATGTCCTCCCATCTTTAACGTTTCAAATGATAACAATAAGCTCTATATTGTTAAAAAGGATGATGTTAACTCAAAGCTTGTATTTGAGATTCCCCAGAACTTTTATCCAACTACCCATGATCTTGCTCAATCAATATATCAAGTTCTCACTTTTGAAGAAAATCATGATGAAGATGAAGCTATCGACTTAAAGGTTAACCTAAGATATCAAGGAGCGAGTGGAAGTGCCGATCATTCCAAATTAACCATGCAGCTGATTGATAAAAAACTCAACTTCACAGCAAGTGACGATAAACCTGGAAATATACTAGATCTTTTGGAGTTTAGAATAAAGAACTTTTCAGCTAGATCGCTGGTGATACAAAATTATGATTTAACTGCACAGGATCAAATATGCTTTATCTATAGTTCTATAGTATCAAATTCTTTGATTAATTATAATGTGTCCCGTTTACTTGATACTGTACCAATCAAGTCTAGTAGAAACGGTGGCTATTATATGCTAGAAGTTCAAAATCCTGTTTTTCATGATGTATCTTCTTCAAGTTTCATTAACATTGCTTTTGATATTCGTAATGTTTTTGGAGATTTGGTGCAGTTTGTTACAGGTCTTCCTGTGATTTTAACTCTTGGACTAAGGAAAAAGCATGTTCCCTCTATATAAGGAAATGAATTCAGATACATTTAACAATGCGATTTTTACTTGTTGCTGCCGACAAAAGTTCCAAAATACCGATTCAAGTGCCTTCTGAATTGATTTCTAAATCTGTGAAGAGAGGTAGTAAAACATCAAAAGTCAGGGTTGAAAAGCGAGGTAAAAAGAAGCAGCCGAAAAAGATTAAACAGATTGCCAGAGCTATAGCAAAATGAGACAAATTTATGTTCCTGACAGAGATACCTACAAAATATACCATCAATATTTTAATAACCAAGCTGGAGGGGGGTATGGTCATGGATCATACATCTATTCCAATAATCAAGTTGGTGGAGGCATCGGAGGATTTTTTCGCAGTGCTCTGAAATTTGCAATGCCCATCGGTAAAAAACTACTATATAAGGGATGGGAGTTGGCTAAACCTGAACTTAAAAAAGTTGCTAAATCTGGCGCTGACGCATTTACTCGTGTAGCAGAGGATAAAGTACAACAGCTATCAAGTAAAGCACAACATAAATTTAGTTCTTACGGAAAACGAAGAAAGACTGACGCACTAGGATCATGACAAAGTATGTGAACAGCTCAGAAGCAATAACATCTAACTTGATGTTATGGAACCCACTTCATACTCAAACTTCCATAGTTGAGACTCATGTTGAGGAAGTATATCCCCAGACAGGAATCGACTATTCGGATACTGTGTCATTTTTGATCAAAGCCAATTCAAAACTTATGTTACAAAAGATTGAAATCATAACAGAAATCCGTGTATTGACAGCAGCTGGAGAGGCTCCTGCTGCAAACACCAATGTTTCGGTAGTATCAAACCTTGCAAACGCTATTTGGCGGTCTGTGGATGTTGTTATAGGAGGGCAAAATATTTTACAGAGCTTTGATAACAGCTATAACATTGGATCTTTTTTTGATATTGTGTTGAACACACCAAAGAGACGATCACATTACCTGCATATGAAAGAACTGTTTCTAATGGATGAAGCAACAAGCAAGGCGAACTCTGAAAGTAGCATAATTCATCCTGCTGCTAATGTTGTAAACAAAAGCATGCGTGAAAGAGCACACAAAGTTGCAGGAGGCAGATCTGTAACCCTAATATCAGATTTGAATTGTAGTTTATTCAAAACTGGGAAATTGCTTCCAACCAATCTAGATGTCCGCATATCCTTGACCAAGAATTATGATGGTTATTGTCTTTTAGAAGCTGCTGATGGGGCCCATAAAATCAAATTTGATAAATGTTATCTGAGAGTAACTTATCAACAGCCTAGTGACATTTGTCTTCACTTGATTGAACAGAAGCTGTTGAAAGCACCTGCTGTTTATCAAGCGGAGGAGGGTAAAGTTAGTTTCCATTCAATACCTGCTGGTAATGAAGTAGTAACTATAAACAATCTGTTTCCTCAAGGTAATTTACCTGTTTTGTTTACATTTGCTGTACAAGATCGAGCTGCCTATGGAAATGTAAGAAACAAGAACCCATACACGTTTCATAGTATAAGAAAAGCTCAAGTCTATGTTGGAGGGAAGCCATACTATCCAAGTGCGTTGCAGGGTAAAACAATGTTATTTGATGCCTTTTTTGAAGCAATTGGATATAAAGACACAGACAGGGAGTGTCTAATTACCCCACACAATTATCACATCCATCCTTTGCTTGCTGTAGACTTGACAGCTGACCGGAATTCCAACAAGCATCATCTGAACCTAAGTAAAAGTGCAGAGGTCAAGTTGAACATTGAGTTTGATAACGCTGCAGCTGAGGGACTCATTCTGCTAGTTTACGCTTACTACGATCGAATCATTGAAATTAACTCAGATAGAAGCATCAAGGTGCTATGAGCTTGAGGTCGACAGCATTGAGTACTGATGAGATTGATGATTTGCTAAAGAATCAGCCAACGTTTAAAGGAACCTTTCCATGTGACCAAATTCCAAGTTTTGGGGATAATGAATATTCAATCGTAATCAATGTGGATAATTCTACATTGCCTGGATCACATTGGACTGCGCTTGTAATTAGAGGGAATAATTGTTATTATCTGGATTCTTTTGGAAGGTTATATGATAATGGTTCCTTCCCTGTAGACTACCGTACAAGTTTGCAACGTTTTTGTTTGGGGAAGAAAATAGCTTTCCAGGATCAGGTTTTGCAAGGATTTCATAGTTTGACGTGTGGAGAATACTGTGTATATTTTATCAAGCAGTTAGAAAAAAGAGTTAAATTTTCAAAAGTTTTTCATGATTTTACCACTAATTTAAGATCTAATGATATCAAAATCATGAAATTATATAATAGAGATTAAAAATTATAATTATATGATTCATGTACTTATTTTGTACTTTGATTTAAATTTGAACTGTTTTACTTTTCCCATGAGTCAAATAAACAACCGTTTCATAAACAAATTATCAAATAAATTGAATATCTAACATTACAATATATACAAGTTACAAAATCAATTAAAACTAAAAAAAAAGAAAGATTGAACCAAAAATGAAATTTAAAGCATCAGCCACCTTGCACATTTTTAAAATTTCCATGTGCACGTGTTGATACCCCATCTGACAAAATATATCGTTTGTCATCATATCTTGTTAGTCCAACTTTTCTCTGATTTATGGTGAAAATCACATGTTTCTGTGATCGAAAAGTCTTTTGCTCTATAAAGTGATCTTCTGTGTCAGAATCTTCTGTATCAGGATTTCTCATTGTGTTGAACAAGACTTGTCTATAGAGATCATGGTTCAGTTTTCGGTTACGGACATTGTGTTTCACACCAGCAGCCGTGCTCTTTTGCTTTCCAGCTCCAGTTAGAATAGAGTAACACTTTGAGCGAAGCCCTAAGATTGAATTTGGTTAATATAACTTATGTTTCTATTGAAATGAATAACAAAGAAATTGAAGGTTTATGGACTTTTTTAAATTTAACCACTAAACTACAAACAATAACTTGCCTATGAACTCAACGATTGCTACTCCATTAGTTTCGTCTTTGAATTTTCCAACTACTGCTCTGTTTGTATCTGAATACAGCGGATGATCTCTAGGATACTTTGAGAAGTCAAAGTGATTCTTTAGCCTCTCCAGGTGTTCCAAGTACAGGTTCTTGCAGTAAATGTGGTAAAGGAAACTGTCTGTGTCAGTGAAGCATAGTTCCAGTTTGTCAAAGTTGGCTTGCATGACCGTGTAATGAAACTTAAACATTAGGAGTTTTGATAACTCCAGCACAGTAAAACCAACATAAATTGGTTTATCAAGCGTCAAATTTGTTTGTGCAAGCTCAACACCTACAAGGCTTTCATTAAAAATCTGAAAACGCTTAAAAGTAGGTTTGGAGGTCTGCCAAAAATGACCTCTACTGTTGTTTACAAGGACAATTTTGACACGTTTCCGCACATTTTCCATGGTTTTACCGAAAAATGCATTATTGAGCAGCTTGTAGTAATCCCTCATAAAGTCATCAGTTGCTTGCTGGCGCAACCTGGTGTTCTCTGCAATGTAGGGCTGTATCCAGGCTGCTTGGTTGAAACAGATGACCCGGTGTACTTTTACAAGTACAACACCTTGGGAGAGATAAAACTGCAAGTTCCTTAAATGAGTGACATATGCCGACTTGGACTGTAGGTTGGGCGCCAATTTGATTGCCTTGAACTTTGGAGCTTTCTTTCTGCGACCTCTGATTTCCCTGAAGACGAGTATTTTAGAATTGATATATTATAGCCGTGTGTACTGAGTGATGGGAATGAGACAACTCCATGTACCACGTGACTATAATTCTCTAATCTCATTCGTTCTTAGAACTGACCACATAATTTTAGGTGTATCAAATATCACAACATTGCCCGTTAATTGGAACATTCTAGTTAGTGTTATATGACTGCAAAATGAGAAAAATGGTTTGTAATTACCTGGATTTTGGTGAGATCATGTTCTCAGATATCTCTAGATGTTCAGGACAGAGAGGGTACATATCCGTTTTATCATGTATATTCTCTGGTATTTCCAAGTCTACCTCAAATATATACCCCTTAGTATCATTTGCATCCAGATCCATTATCATGTCACGTGTCCAGACTGTATCATTATCCCATTTAAAACCGTCAACAGGTACTTTCTCACTCATGGCATACCCATAGAGGTTCTGAGATATTACAAATTAGTTTTTAGTTCTGAAACTAATTTAATTAGTTAGTTTAATTCTGAAACCATTCATACACAAAAATAGATTTAAAGACCGTTTGAAAATAACAAATATAATGAAACCTACATTGGCATCGATGTATAGTAAGTAAGACTCGGGTAAGTTGGGGTCAAAGCCAGGAATCCTCGGATTGTTTGCTTTAGCATGTCGATGTGATATGACGCTTACTCCACCTGTCCATATGTTACATTAGCTGTCTTTCTATAGAAAGTTAATTATGTATTTTTGGGTTGGGTAAAAAAGATTGATTGTGATACTTAAGTACCAACCTCTGATTCCAAGCTCAATCATTTGTAGCATGTCAATATCCTTGATAATCTCAAGCTTCCTTCCGGTTAACTTCATACATGCATCAAACGTGAGTGACGGAAGAGAGACATAACAGAGAGCTTCCAGACCCATGCGAGTCCAGCACATGTTTCTATACTTTTCAAGCACATCCGCCAAAAGCAAAACGTCAGAAATTACATATAAATCATGGAGGTCTCCAAGACACTGTAAGTTGAATGTAGACCATACTTCCTGTACTAGTACATAATCTTCATCAGACAATGCCTCATCTGTCATGTCATTGTAGAAGCAGCTTTGTGGGGGGAGCCCCTCATCAAACTTGGCTGCATCATCAATGTAACTATATGGATAAACTCCTTTTTTAGTGAGCAATTCAAATTTCTGATCGCAACCATCATGTTCAGTATCGATAAAATCTCTAGTACATTTAAAGTTATCCAGACCACCGTTAGCTAGGTTTTTCGTTAACTTGTCCAAGGATGCACTCAAATGTTGCATAGAGTCGATAAATCTGGGGAATATTGAGTTTTAGACTGATTTTCATTCCTGACAATAATCAATCTATAATGCTAATTTCAGTTACAAAAGATTAAATCATGCATTTGATCACAAACACAGTGAAGCTAGAATTATCTCTGATTCTTTTTGGGAGCATGTATTATCCAACAAAGTATCCTAAACCTGAATTCCTTAGTTGTAACAGATATGTACTTCTCCATAGAATTAGGAATGATTGTTATATCAGTCAAATCATCAGTTTGTGCTGCTAGAGCCTTAATAATGAGGTGAGAATCGTAACCCTGGAATAATTTATTCTTTAAGAACAACTCATTTGACTAATTAGATATTAGCCTTGCATCAAATCCATTAAAGAAGCATCAAATTACATGAATGTGTAACAAACTTACTCGGAAATTGTGGAAAATGATTGGAAGATGTTTGTCTGTTCTTCTTTCAAAGTTGCATGTAAAATGAGCTGCACCTATATAATCACCTCTGAAAACAGTTTCTGTTAATTCCAGAGAATTGTATATTCTATAATCTGAATTTTCATTGCTGAATTAAGAGAATATATTTTTGACAATAAGATAACAAGCGGGAAAGCTTTGAAAGTATATGTTTGGTGAAAAGATAATTAATTACGTGTAATGGTCATGATCTCTAACCCTTCCGTTATCTTCAGTAAACAGTTCATTGCACAGGTAACAGATTGTTGAGGCCTTAAATGCACGACGTTGTGCTGTACTGAGCGGCTTCATATCTTCATCAGCATGGATTAAATTTCTGAGACGTTCGTATTCCTCATGCATCATGCTGACAAACATCTCAGCAACATTGCCTGCTCCGTTATCACGATGAACCACGATAGGTTGGTTGTAGTCCTCAAATTCAGTCACCACCTTGTATGCAAAGCCGCATGGACTGTGTTCCTTCAATCGTTGAGTACCCTGAAAACACGATTCGTTCATAAAATCTGCTTCATGTTAATCTACTCCCTAATACATTATTAGTATACTAGTTAACATCATGCGTAACATAAAGAAATGGTAACTTAGTCTAACCCCTGAAGGTCCCGTGTTCTGATCGGCAACATCTTTCAGATATGATTCAAAATCTGAAGAATTTGTAACATTAGACTATTAGAGAACAATAACTGCTTAATTAGAACCACAAGTTTACAGTCTCAATTGACTAGGATCCAACTTACAAGAATCTATAATTTTAGGTTTACCCCACTAATGACATGATTTGCAGTTGAATTGAATGATATAATGTACCTGCAACGATGTAAACAGGACATTTCACCATTCTCCGATACGATTTGAAAAACAGATGATCATCCTCTGGAAACTGTGTGCCTTGCGCACGAAATCTGATACACTTTTCTTGATGTTTAATCAAATTACTCTCCTTACAAAACCCGTGAAAGCACCTGTCAGATAAAAATCAGTGAGACTTTAACAAATCACTGTAATAATCTCTCATCCAATCTGAAAGTTAGAAAATAAATGAACTTCTTTAGTAAACTTTTTAGCATGTAACCATTATCAATCCCTCATTAAAATTTAATCTATCGGTAGGGAAAAGTATTGAACTCATAAAAACAAAAGTAACCTGACACAGTGGTGTTTAAGATTTCGTGTGTTCGGTTTTCTCAGTAAGGCGTTGAGGGACTTAATTAGTACAAAATGTGTGGTGTTTTCGTTGCTAATTATCAATGTGTTAACCGTTAGATGTTCAGCATGTGTTGATTTTGAAACATATACAGGGTAAAACGGAGCTGTCTCATTATCCTCGTCATAGCCCACTACATTTATCCTTACTCTGAAGATTTAGTTACAGTTTATTTTTTGTCCGTTAGGTTTTAAAAACTAGAATTGTTGTGATTTGTTCTTCAATTAGCTTTGCTTACCTATTCAGTAACTCAAACTTGGGTATCTGTTGTAGTGTTATCGGCCACACTATACCCGTGTCATCAATCTCGTTCTCAAATTGCTTGTAGTATGTTAAACGAGATGCATTACCATCATCCTTCGGGTATGGATGTCGAGCTGCTATTGTTACCCACTTTAAACACCTGCAGATTGTTAGATTTATGGTTAGATAGTTTAAACTCCAAATATTCATCAAACATGATCAAACATGTTCATGTGATAGTTAGCTCTGGTAACCTCACATGAGATGTGAAATTTTGTAACAGCAAGAGAGTAATGAAACTATGAAGCGGGAACTAATTATCTTACATGTTGTCGTTGTTCTGGATGTTAAGGAGTGTCTCCCTTCGTTCTTTAATAGCTGCAGGAAGTGGGATGTGTCTTCCAAACGCCATGGGATTGTATTTTGTGATGTTTAGGTGAGCATGTGTAAGCCCCTTCAGTATCCAACCAGATCCTGAAATTATGTAACATTTTAGTTTTATTTGTATTATTTTCACTCTAATCATAATTACCCAAAGCCAGATTCGGATACGATATAAATAATATCATCTATTTGACTCACCGTTCCGTAAAAATTCGTCCATCTTTTGAGCTAGGATCTCAATGTGACGGTAGACCTCATCATTGATTTCTGTGGATGGAAGCAGGTTGGAGGCAGGGGAGCTTGTAAAAGAGAATGTACCATCCTCATTATCGTTTATCGTACGCTCCATTGTAACAACCACACTTAAGTAGAATCTTGCTGAGGTGTAAAACTCTAATTGTAACCTGAGAAATTAATATTAATAGCCTTAATCTTCATACCGTTCAATAGATGAAAGTAAAGTAAAAGGTTGGAATTTTATTGAAATTCAGTCATATAATTCGAGCATTAAATTACCCTATGATGTCAGCAAGACGACTAGATTCTTCGTGGAGGGTCTCTACAACAAGTGGTGAGTCTGGACTTGAACAAAACTCAATAATTTTGAATAAACCATTTGCTGCACTTGTTGTACCAGGAGGATCGTTAACCCTTCTCCTCTTGCCCCGTGAGCTATGACCCTGCTCGTTTTGACATCTGACCTGGTGTATATTCCTAGCTCTACCAGTAGAAAACTTTTCCTCACAGTTTGGGCAGATGAACCTGAGTAAATACAACTCTTGAATAATTGAAAACTTACAAAATTTCGGATGATGGTTTAAAATAACTTGCACTAAGGAAAGGACAAATTCGATTTAAATCATGGACTGTAACAGCCTTTAAAATAGTACTAAAAAGAAATATTTTGACTTCAAGCATTTACCATTTTTTCTGACAGTTCAAAAGATGCTCTGTAAGTTCACTGCCTTCCAAGTTTATTTCCACACAGCACGTTGGACAAAATCGTCCGGGTCCATGACAAGACGTGAGATGACGGCGATAACGACGATATTCTAGGGTTTTATCACATCTAACACAAGTAATCTGTCGAGTCAACATGATATGTTAAGCAACAAAGTAGAACTGCCACAACAAGAACTGAATTTTTTCTTAGTTGTACTTGCTTATAAACCAATATATTACGTAACATGAATTAAGAACCTCACTCACATGATATCATGTAACTTAACCACATTCATTGGTAGATATATCGATTCTATATTCTAGGGGAGGGGGTGAGCGGTTTGAGTCACAAGTATGACGTTGATTGTTTATCAGGAAATATTAATTAGATTCTCTTTCATATTAAGAAATTTCTTATACTCCAGAAACGTTCTCACAGTTGTTGTCAAATTTTTATCAGATTAATGATACTTTAACGGTTCCTTTAATAAGCACTCATTAAAAACACCGAATTTTTAAGATTATCAATCTGATAAAACTGTAAGAAATTGACGTCAGCTGGTGTTTACTGTCCAATTTTTGCAACATTATTTTCCAACTGATAAGTTAGGGCGAGCAGAAATTAAACAAGTTGTCAACCTGGTGTAATTACAGGAAATTTGTCCGTGAATTTGATCTAAACCATCCAAGTTCCACATCATTATATTGGAACTGATTTAGGTGAGGGCGACCATCTCTTTGCGGCTACCTACAGATCTATGAATAAGGTTTCCCCCGCACATCTGTCAGATCTATGAATAGGGTTTCCCTCCCGCTCATCTGTCAGATCTAAGGTTTTCACGCTCGCTGTGGGTATTTGTATAAATACAACAACTTGTTTGTAAATTAATTAGTTCCGTTTACAATCTCAGTTTTCCTCAGACCTCATCTTAGTTTTACCATCTCAATTTCTCACCATGTCTGCTCTCTACGGCCGTCTGGTCCAGGTTGAACCAATCGATGCTTATCTTAAGATTAAAATAGTTGTTCAAGTTCCATTTGAGCTAAAAACTCACTCGTTTAATGTTTGGGCGAAAGACATCAAAAGGACGGCCAGGAGGCTAATGGGAAAAAATGTAAGTACTATTTTCGTTCAGATAATTTTTCTTAATCACAGATAATTTTTCTTAATTGTGATTGATGACATATTCATTGGTCTCTATATCATCTTCACTTTAGATCTGTTACTTTACCAGTTTGTAAATTAAGTTTACTACTATTGTTAAACGTTACTTTATTTTTCTCAAACACTCATTGATCATGTCTACCCTTTATGGACGTCTTGTTAAGCTCAAACCGGTCGATTTATATTTAAGAATCAAGATTGCCATTCGAACTCAAAATTCGATATTTTCTCAGGTGGAGGCAAGTTATGTTCTGAATGGAATCTATAAGAACATAAAGTCGCTGAGAGAACACGAGACTTATCAATGCCCCCGTTGTCACTCAACGCTACCTCTTTTGGATGCGCAAAGCATGTGCCTGGAGTGTCCAACACTCTCTGATGATGAGATTCCACAAATGCTATCTCAAACGGCCGTAACCATCACCTCAGTATCCCAAAAAAAACTGAAGTATAGCAAGGGAGTGTCGTTCACGGCCAAATTTGGCTCTGTGACCATCCAGTCAGAAATGATTTTTGAAAGGTCCTCTCTCTATGATGAGGTAATACTTTTTGAGGAGGGCCTTTCAAAAGTCATTTCTGGCTGGATGGAAGGGGGGACCATCGAACTTTTAAGTATCGACTAATGTCTAATATTGATTATTATTTATTTATTTCGCTTTTTAAATTAGTGTGTTTTAATTGTACAGTAATAAATTACAAATCGAATCATTATAAATATCATACGAGGTTCAAATAACAGTCATGTCAAATGATGCTAAAATTTAACACGTTACGAATAATGAAGATTAAACATCACCTTATTTTTTGAACGGTCACGTGATTATCTTACTTGTGAATTCATAATTGGTTTAGGATCGAGAGGACGGTGCAGATGTACGTTTCTCGTTGGTTAAACATGGTTCATGCTACATGTGTTTATGTCATGTGACCCTGAATGGATAAACTTGACGGCAAAACGTCATTAATTAATTTGTTACGTGACCTAGAGTTTCAAATAACATTCATGTCACATGATGCTAAAGTTAAACACGTGACGGTGTCACATGATGCTAAAGTTAAACACATGGCGGGTAATCAAGTGACAGAACTGTTTGACACACCGTTTAATCAGACTTTAGATCCTTTAGTCGGGATTATTAATTTATTCATCATGACGTTCTGACGGGTAATCAAGTGACTCCTGTCACGTGATCTCGAGGTTCAAATAACATTCATGTCACATGATGCTTAAGCTAAACACGTGACCGGTAATCAAGTAACAGGAACCTGCTTGGCAACCGTTTAATCAGACTTTAGATCCTTTAGTCGGGATTATTGATTGATTCATCATGACGTTCTGACTCCTTATTGGTCAATTATCTTGTCACGTGACCTTGACATTTAATTAACGAGCTTGTCACGTGGTTACATGACATGTGATCTGTCACGTGACCCTTGTGACGTGCTGTCACGTGACCTGAGGGCGTGCTGTGAGTGGCTGGGGGCTACTTGATGACTGGCCTTCACAATTTCCCATCTACTATGGGTTCCCATGCTGAGTATTGGGGCGTGCATTGTGTTTGTGGAGTCTATTCTGGTACAGTTCTACATAGAAGAATACAATAAGACCATTGATTGGGGCGGGAAAGTGATAGGAATAGGATCATCAATCTATACAATCTCCACATTTGTTACAGGGCCCATTGGAGTGCGATTTCGTGCCCTACAGTATTTATACCTAATTTGTGGCCTGGCCGGTGTGGGCTTTCTGCTACTGTTTCTTGGGCCACTCATCTCAGTCCCTAATGTAGCAGACATCACTGTATCTGCAGTTGCTTTTGCTGCAATTCTAGTGTGTAGTAGCGCAATTCAGTTTGCCTCTCTATCATATACTGCTCAGATACTGAGTAGAAGTGCTGTGACGGATGTGGCCATGTCAACTGCTATGAATGTTTGGAACATGGGGTATAATGCAGGTGCTGTTCTGGGACCAATCGTTGCTTTGAATCTTCATAGGCTTTCCTTCTTGGAAGACTACAAAACAGTTTTTGCGATAGGAACTCCTTTCTTTATTTTCTCAAGTTTAACTGTTCTCATAAAACTACTTCATCAGAAATTTGGCCAGGAAACTAAATACCCACATAGTGATTCAGGGGAAAATTCTATCAATCATGATGATAAATGATTATTGTTTGTAAAGAACAAACAAGAAGACCAAAACTACACGGGTATGGGTAACCAGACCAGACTGGGACCAATATATTGACACTGAAAGCTGCAAGCTTATTTCCGACTTTTTCACTACTATGGAATAAAAATGTCTATGTTACAATTGCTGATGTAATTTCATTTTTGTTATGGCTTCCTTTTATTACATATGATTATGGAGTTTGTTAATCCATTATATCTATAAAATAGTTTTCAAATTTCAATCTGTTTTTCATTTCGTTTATCTTGCATGATTCATCAGAATCAAGTCAAAAACAATAACAGCATGAATTATCTTATAAGCTAATGTTCAGAGTATAAAATGCCCGGGTCCATACATATGCACCATGATCAATAGTTTTGTCATGTCAATGTCAAAGACCAAAAAGTGAACAGTTGAGGTAATTAATTGTCATACTGTGTATCAGAATGTTTAAAAGACGTTTAACTGTAAGTGACGTGTGAGAGTTTCTTTGTTCTTAAAACATGCGAAGGAAAACTGGGTAACGCCAACATAACAAGATGGGTGACATTAATAAAACGGATTACATTACAATGCATTGTCAATTGTTCAGGTATATTTTATACATAATATAAGCACTGAGCATCGCAACTGCAAACTTGTAGGTTTATAAGTATAAGTATAACCTACCAAGACGCGCGCCGAGTTGGACTCGTCGACGGTCTTGGAACAAATATTTTACGAGTATCACCCGTTAACTGCAAACAAAAGCTTTAAGGTTTTTTCTTTGTTGTGGCAAGTAGAATCATTGCTTACTAATACTCACATGACAATAACAAAAATCAAAATAATGGACATTCAATTTTAAGCAAGCTTTGTAGACAGTAATTACTTTCATTTTAACCGACACCATTTAACACCGACCTCAAACAGTTTCGTTTACAAATCTAGTTGCCTTTGGAATTCATTCCGTCAGATGTTGGCACTGAACGACCTTGAAATCACTCATGGTGTATTCAAATCAAAGGTAAAAAAAGTCATTCTCTCGTCTCAGGGTAAAGGTGACAAGAATACCTGGGCCCCTTTGGCAAACTTTCTGAACTCAGGCAGCTTGAACGACTAAATTTGAAAAAATAAAACTTCTTGTCTGAATGAACTATTAGAACCTCAAGAAGCTGATCCGCATGTCTCCGCTACTAAAATGTTTAATGAGCCCAATCACTCATCACTTAACAGTTTAATCTTCAAAGTGAGTTGTACAATCTAGGTTGTTTTAAGTAGCTGTTGATAGTGTAAAACAGGAGTGACTTGATCGTTTTCATAACTTCGATTTACAATTTGTACCATAATAAAACTAGCACTGCCATGGGGTTCAAAAAGGGTCATTGTAAGCCTCCAGCGTAATGGTCCTAAGTCTCTGCCCCATGCAGTGCCTGTCAGCATCAGCTAACAGAATAGCCCTAACATAACGATCAAGCCACAAATTAGGTTCTATAATGATTTAATATTGTTGAATAAAGAGATTTGAATATAATATTTGTTTTATTCTGAATATTTGTTTTATTCTGACACCATGATACAATTACAACTGGGTCTTTGGTTTTATATGAACGCTCTAAAAGCTACACAAGGCATAATGATACCCAGTGTGAGCGAATTATGCCGTAACGGTAAACTGCCAGTGCTACGTGGGTACGTGGTAGCGAGCATGAATCCAAAACATTTTTATTTTGATGTTAATCCAAGTCCAAATCGTTTTTATTCATTATTGGTAAGCGGACCGAATCCCTGACGCTTAATAACTGCTAGTGCCTGTGGCTCTAGGTATAGTAATACTTATAGTGTTCGTGTTTCTGTTAGGGATGGGGTTATGGTTTGTTCTATAATCCACATAATATATATATAACCAGAGCTCTTGTGAAACAATTAACGCGTCACGTACGCGCGGCGTAGTAATAGTATTATAGTACTACTACTAGTACGTGTGGGCACATGGGTAGGTGAAAGTTATGGTTAATGGTTATAGTAAAGTTTACAGTTAGGATTAATTTTAAGGTTAGACCCAGGGTTAGGGCTAGTGTGTAGTGGCTAGTGCTAAGATAAGGGTTAGGGAAAGGGGTAGCGATTCGTTTCGCCAAGCCAATTGTCTCTGTCCACACAACAGGTCAGGTTATATGTTTTATTGTTCGAATTTGATTACTATTAGTATTAGTGAAAAGATAACCGATCACACGAACATTGTTTTCCCCCGCTTAATCACCGGCCAAAGCTAATGCATAATGGAAATAGTACCGGTACTGCAACTCGTTATAACGCGGTTTTTTTGGGCAAATCGTTTTCTCCCTCAAAAAAATCTAACACTTATTTTATTAGTGTTAGATTATTATCAATTATGAAAATTCTGTATTGAAGTATGATAATGATAATTTTGAAGTCTTCCAAATTCCAATCAACCTTCTATTTAGACAAGCAAGTGCAGATGAAAATGATGTCACATCTACAAACTCTTCTCCCTCTATAACTGTTATACATGTTGCCTCCCGTTACAACTAAAATACCTACTAGTACTAGCATGAGCATTATGTATGGACCCGGGCATATTATACTCTGAACATTTGCTTAGATCATTCATGCTGTTATTGTTTTTGACTTGATTCTGATGAATCATGCAAGATAAACGAAATGAAAAACAGATTGAAATTTGAAAACTATTTTATAGATATAATGGATTAACAAACTCCATAATCATATGTAATAAAAGGAAACCAAAACAAAAATGAAATTACATCAGCAATCAAATTGTAACACAAACATTTTCATTCCATAGTGGTGAAAAAGTCGAAAATAAGCTTGCAGCTTTCAGTGTCAATATTTTGGTCCCAGTCTGGTCTGGTTACCCATACCCGTGTAGTTTTGGTCTTCTTGTTTGTTCTTTACAAACAATAATTATCATTTATCATCATGATTGATAGAATTGTCCCCTGAATCACTATGTGGGTATTTAGCTTCCTGTCCAAATTTCTGATGAAGTAGTTTTATGAGAACAGTTAAACTTGAGAAAATAAAGAAAGGAGTTCCTATCGCAAAAACTGTTTTGTAGTCTTCCAAGAAAGAAAGCCTATGAAGATTCAAAGCAAAGATTGGTCCCAGAACAGCACCTAAGTTATACCCATTGTTCCAAACATTCATAGCAGTTGACATGGCCACATCCGTCTTAGCACTTCTACTCAGTATCTGAGCAGTATATGATAGAGAGGCAAACTGAATTGCGCTACTGCACACTAGAATTGCACAAAAAGCAACTGCAGATACAGTGATGTCTGCTACATTAGGGACTGAGATAAGTGGTCCAAGAAACAGTAGCAGAAAGCCCACACCGGCCAGGCCACAAATTAGGTATAAATATTGTAGGGCACGAAATCGCACTCCAATGGGCCCTGTAACGAATGTAGAGATTGTATAGATTGATGATCCTATTCCTATCACTTTCCCGCCCCAATCAATGGTATTATTGTATTCTTCTATGTAGAACTGTACCAGAATAGACTCCACAAACACAATGCACGCCCCAATACTCAGCATGGGAACCCATCCATAGACAAGAGTGTCCAAAGAGAAGTGACGCTGATACTGCTCTGCCAAAGTTTCCTCTTTCTTGCACTTGCTCGCTGAATCCTTTATCAATGGGACAAGTTCCTCATCTTTCTGAGGATAAATTAAGGCAAACAGGACTGAGAGTAGAAACCAGGAGACCCCTGCTATGCCCATTGTCACGGGAAAACCAAAATGAGTAGACAGCAATGTCCCAATGTAGCAACCTATGCCCTTGCCCATATTAGATAACACTGCCCATGCCGCGGAGGATTTTGCAAGATCCCCGTCCAAAATTATAGTCCAACCAACACCAATCTTGATGCTACTCAAAGCATCAGCTGCCCCAGTCAATGAACGACCAATAAGGCCGATATAGAAGTAACCCAATCTACCAGCAAGTGGAGCATATGTGAATGAAGAAAATCCCAGCATTCCAATTGTCCCGACAGTAAGAATATATATGCTGGACTTCCACCCACTTATAAGAGGGTACATCATTGTGGCTGGTATGGTGGCTAAAGGATGGGCGGCCACCAGGAATGCAACTTCAGTGCAGGTCATGTTCATTTCCATCGAGCCAGGGACGAGGATAGCTAGGGGTATCACTCTGAGGAATCCAGCTGATATAGTCAGAACTATAAATAGAGTCAGGATAACTCTCTTTCGGAGTGGCCTGACTTCCACCTCCTTCATCTGGATAGGCATAATATTGGTAATTTCTTATTGTGTCAAGTATTTTTCGTGAGGAAACCTAGCTTGCTGAATTTTTGAAGAATTATAATTTACGAATATATCATGCTACAGTTACTCTTATCTAGTAGCAGAGTTGAGTATGCAAAGTGGAGTTGAGTATGCAGAGTGAAGTTGAGTAATGAGTATGCAGAGTGGAGTTGAGTATGCAGAGTGGAGTTGAGTAAGCAGAGTGGAGTTGAGTATGTAGAGTGGAGTTGAGTATGCAGAGTGGAGTTGAGTAAGCACAGTGGAGTTGAGTATGCAGAGTGGAGTTGAGTATGCAGAGTGGAGTTGAGTATGCAGAGTGGAGTTGAGTATGCAGAGTGGAGTTGAGTATGCAGAGTGGAGTTGAGTATGCAGAGTGGAGTTGAGTATGCAGAGTGGATTGAGTATGCAGAGTGGAGTTGAGTATGCAGAGTGGAGTTGAGTATGCAGAGTGGAGTTGAGTATGCAGAGTGGAGTTGAGTATGCAGAGTGGAGTTGAGTATGTACTTCGTATACACAATTTTTGACTACACAAGGTCCTTAGTATAGTCATTCTGCATCGAGATCATCTTGGTATGCAATTTGTCTCGATAGCCCTAGTCCTACAGGGCAAAATGTCTAAATAATATGAGAACGATACCGTAATAATTATTAAAACGATCTACACGAGCTAGAATAAGCTGATATAAGACCAAATTGAAACAATTTTCCAAGCGATCACTTAACATTTCAGGGTTTTAAACCTCTATCGCTTAACATTTCAGGGTTTTTAACCTATATCGCCTAAGTGACAGGTGTTTTTGGATTTTACTAAAACCACAAAATAGAATATAACACTCTGTGCACCTTGACAATTTTAACGTATAGAAAGGCACAGTATAATATGTAGGATCGACTGCAACAAGGTTATTATAAAATTATTGAACAATAAACATTAGTAAACGTTATTAGATATGGCGCCCATTATCATGGTAATTACTTTTTTATCCGATTATTAATAATATTTTTATTCATAAATTATGAAGAAAACATTATATCCGATCTTATCATCTAGAATTAAATAAAACTCTTCGTATCATGGAGCCAGGGTGTGAAGTGGCTACACCTTCTAACAAAGTACCGCCCTTATGTCCTATGCCCCTATTTAAAATGGAAACTAATCGTGTTTCACTCTGTTACTAGTAAGTTGAAACCTGTGTCAGGCCCTAGGTCACGTGATATTGACAGTGTCGAAATATACATGCTCCTCCACCATGGCCAGGAATCCGTGAGATAACCTATGGCAACAACCCTGCAAGAATTGGTTTTGCAAATTGTTTGTTTCAAATTCATGAGGTTAAGAATAAAAACGAAGAAAGCAGTTATTAACTTTCAAAGGCTAAACTGATCTTAAATTTGGCCTTGCTGTTGAATAAACTATTTCAGCTATGCAGGTAATTTCAGTGTATTAGATTAGACTGACTATGGAATGTTATCAGATTGAAGTAACAGTATGAGTAGTGATAGTTCAATAAGTTAAGATGGCTGTGAAAATAACCTCCTCTTCACCTTACATTACGCGGATACAAGTAATGCGCAGCGTAAAAGACACATGTAGGTAGAAGCTCGAAAGAAGCAAAAGAATGTACAGTTAAATACCAAAGCGTGATTTTAAATCTTTGAATGTCATACTAAACATTGAGCCATGAACTAAAATAGTGTTCTATAATACAATTTGAACACGAAACGTTAAATAAAGAAATTAATTGTACGAGTTAAATCACATTTGATACTGCACAATATTGATGACATAACGTCAGGTCAGTGAGCCATTATAAGATAAGAAAATTAAACCAACTGATAAAGCTAGAGGGGGATTATTTAAAACATATAAGTGATACGAAAAGTTTGTTTTAGCAGGAGCTTTCGAAATACATGTTTAAATCGTCTTTACTGATATAGTAAAATTGACCAACAAAACACGTCAATCATGCTCTAAAATTACCAACAAACAGCATACAGTTAAAAAAGAAGAACGCAACAAATGCAATGAATAATTTGGAATAATGATAATAATTATGTTATTCCTCATCAGTTAAAAATAGTACTGAATAGATAAGACCTTATCTTACGGCTACTTTGTTAAAATTATTGCAGCCTTTGAATTATAATTGACTGGAAATCCGTTGAGAAATAGAGATGCAAGCTTTATTCGAGAAAATTTAATTCATTCGTTCAAATTTATTTTATCATTTAGCTCCGTATTGTAGAAAATATGGATTTTATTTGACCATAACGACAAAGTTTTAAAGTTTCCCCACATCAAAATTCTAAGAATGCTACAATAGCTGCATTTCCTTTTTATGCAACCCTGTTAAAAATTGTCCTCAACAAAGGGTCACTTTGTGGCTAATTTTCAGCGCTTTTATACTGTTTGTTGTAAATGTACGAGTTAAATCACATTTGATACTGCACAATATTAATGACATAACGTCAGGTCAGTGAGCCATTATAAGATAAGAAAATTAAACCAACTGATAAAGCTAGAGGGGGATTATTTAAAACATATAAGTGATACGGAAAGTTTGTTTTAGCAGGAGCTTTTAAAATACATGTGTAAATCGTCTTTACTGATATAGTAAAATTGACCAACAAAACACGTCAATCATGCTCTAAAATTACAACAAACAGCATACAGTTTAAAAATTTACTAGAAATTACCGTAAATACTTAATACTGCCACAATACCGTAAAATTTTAAAGAAAAATATTAGTGTTTTTGCCTATCTCTGTTCCCAAGTAATCCAAGAAACAGTCCCAAACGTCTTCTAGTATGATAGAAGTAAGAAGAGGTAGTTTACTTAAATGTGAGCTGAAGAGGTTTATTTACATTTGTATACCTATGGAACTGTAGAACTGTATGAACTGTAGAAATCCAGAGAAGGTTATTGAAAAATGACAATGTTATCTTGAGGGTGCTGGCGTTTTACCTTACAACCATTCTGGAGATGGGAACGAGCATGTAACTGTTATAACAAGAGTCAAAAATACCGGCAGGGCACTCAACTGAATACTGATTTTCTTCATGAGTGGGCCAAACTCTTAGAGTTGGCCCCTTTTCGCCCCTTTTCCAGATTTTATGGGGGGGGGGGGGCGCGGGCGGTCGCCACCCCCCCCCCTCTTCCTACACCCCTGGAAACGGTCCATGAATCACTTTAAATGCTTTACTGTTTCGAGGAGAATTGGTATTTGGTGCACTACTGTTCTCAGGTGAAGGAAACCCTTGGTCTACTGTTTTCAAGAGAACTGGTGCACTACTGTTCTCAAGACCAGACATGGGCGCCGCCGTAAAACACATAGGCGGCGGCGTGAAGCCATATTTTGGTCGGCAGCGAAGGCCGGCGTGGAAAATAAGCTTTATTACAATTCGTAAGCCGTGAATGAATGGGAAAAGCGAGCGACCGATTTCATTCTCGGTATCAATTTGCATTTGCGGACGGTTCCTCAAATTAATATCATTTCAGGTAAATCGTGTTGCTAAGGACATTACTGAACTACTCTCGATGAGTCTTAATGCCTGAAAAACAATAAAATTAAAGGGGGTATAATAGTATAGGGGGTAAATAGTATTGTGAATACTAGTGGCGCGGTCATGCTTGCCAGCATTGTGATTGGTCTAATTTTTCGACTCCATATATCCACATCTGAGTGAAATATGGGGGTTTAAATCTTAATGTTATGGAAGAGTACGGTTTGGTTAAAATAGCCATGATAGTACCTTGTTGAGAAATCAACAAACAGATTACAAATTAAGATTAAAAACATCCAATAATAGAAAGATTATAGAAGGCAGGAAGTTTGTAAGTAACTGTTAATATATTATAGTTAATAGTATTCCAAATTTAGAAAGAACTGCTCAAAGCTAGAAAGTATATAATTCTAATAACAATATTTTAACAAGCCCTGTGTAGGTTAATTGCTCCTGTGAACTTCTCAGAGATAATACCAGTCTCACACGGTCTATCAACTTGAGCTTGAGATAATTTGTTGTTGAGCAGCTTGTGGGAGAGCAGAACTGGAAATGTATCATGTCATGGAGTGAGGATTATTAAATTCAGCTTACTTTTGTGATTTCTCCTCTATTCTGTGGTTCTGTCAGTCTACCTGATTTTCCGAAAAAAATCAAAATTTTCACAAAAATTTTTACTAAAAAAAAGTAGCTACGTTTTACGTAATTGTGAATAATGTTTATCTATATATTTGATCAAGTTCTCATTACGTGCCTCAGAACTGTGTCGGTATTTGGGACTGGGAGGTGGCATTTTAAGCCAGCATTTTGGGAATCGGTCGCGTGTTTATTTTTTCATAGCAAATTTGACAACTTTTCAACACTGTCTTAGGAATCCTTGGTTTTAAAACACGCTGAATAAAACAATTTTACACCGTTGACAGAGTTATCTTTGTTGAAATTTGTTTTTAATGAAAGCGGGTAAATAATATTCTGTTAACCAAACATTCTTGACCAGGTTACATTCTGTTGAACATGCAAACGGACAACAAAACGCTATTATATGCTATCAGAGATGACGAAGAGCGGTCACTTCTCATATTGTGGAACTTTACAGTTCTTCTGTCGTCACTCATAGGGGACAGTCTAATTTTAATAGCCACTATCAAATATAGAGCCATCAAACTCCATAAAGTGATAATAATAGTGATGCAGCACATGGCTGTTTGTGACTTGATACAAACAGTATTCAGAGTATTCCCTGGTACTCTGGCAATAATATCAGATCGTTGGGTTGTTGGAGAGTTGCTCTGTCATGTGGAGGTAAATGTCACGTGGGCTTGTGTTCCAGTGACAGTGTTGCTGACATGTGCTATGACCACTCTGAAACTGATAACAGTGAAGTATCCTCTGAGAACTAGAACCTGGACCACACGGTTAGGACATAAAATCTGTTCTGTTTTGTGGCTCCTAGCGCTTTGTTGGTACACTCCATTACTTG